TATAGCATGAATTTTAAATTTAAAAAATATACTTTAGGATGTATAAATGTTTATGCATATATATATATATATATATATATATATATATATATATATATATATATATATATATATATATATATATATATATATATATATATATATATATATATATATATATATATATATATATTCACTCACACACATAAATCTTAAAAAAGATTTTTATATTTTTATCTATAAATTGTAAATTTTGTATAAATAAGTTGTTTATTTTTTATGTTTTTTATTGTATATTACTATTTGTATTAAAAATCGACTTTGGAAATATTGCAAGTGCAGAGTTCAACATACAATTTTGTTTTATTTGCAAATTCAATATACATTATAACCAAGTTTAATCACGTTTAATAATATTTTGCAATATTTTCTCGAGCGCATTTTAGCGTTGATTTAACGTTATATTTCAACCTTTACTCGACGTCTTTGAGTCACGTTAAATCGACGTTTTACTGCCAACGTTACAAATTCTTGCAAAATCAACTGCTTTAACAACGTTAAAGTAACGCTTTACAAGTAACATTTTTTCAACGTTAAGTTGCGACGCCTATGCAACGCTTTTTAAGTAACGCTTTTTCAACGTTTAGTTGCGACATTTTTGTAACGTCTTTTAGTAACGATTTTTCAACGTTACGCTACAACATTTAATCAACGTCTCTTTAACAACGTTACATATCTTTGCAAAATCGATTACTTTGTCAACGTTTCCGCAACATCTTTTGCGACCGGTTTTCAACGTTGTTTCAACGCTGACACGTTTGCTGGGATATTTATATCAATTTAATTATCAATGGTTTAACCAATAAAAATTTGTTAGAAATTTGATTAACCAGTTAATCTATATATGAATTCTAAATTTATAAAATTTCAAATTTATATAACTTTTATTTGTTATTTTTTTTTTGTTTATTTAATTAATACCTCATTTTTACCAAATTAATTACTACCTCAAAATCAATTGGATTTTTTTTTTCGTATTGAAAATAATATGCTGTCATATTTCCAAGATTGGTACCACCAGTAAACAATGGTGTTTCAACTGGGTGAGGTTCATTTTTTTCGTTCTCTTTAAGTGTGATAGTGGTTTCTATAATTTCCAACAAAGAAACAGTTTTTAGTATATCCTCCACATCTGCCGTAACATTTTTTGCAGCAGCTAAAATTGCACCGAGCCAGTTTTTTGGCTGAAATCCGTGAAAATGTTTTACGTTTAAAACTGGAATCTTTATTTGGTCAGCATAATTTAGAATTTTTGAACCTTTTTTTGAAGATTCCAAAAAAGGAGAAGCAAAAACAAGAACTAAACCTGCATTTTCAACACCTTGAGCAATATCGGTGTTAACATTGTCATTTTCTTGTGAATAGTACACTCGAATCCTTCTATCGTTCAATTCACTTTTAAGTCTTTTGACAGTTTCCAAACTGTAACTATCTTTGTCGTCACACAAAAAGAAGATATGCTTTTGCTTTAGTTCTGTGTTGGACATTTCAAGTATGGTATAAATTGGCAAATTGTAATAAAATCTTTAAGAAATTTTCTGATCAAGATTTGTAGCTTTCTAAGTTTTGTTGCGAGATAAACTTTGACTTTGTCTATTTTGTTTTGTTTTAACATAAACTTATGCTTTTTATTAAATCCCTATACAATACTAATCAGGATAAACGTCATATTTTAATGAGTTTGTCAAATGTATAACAATTAAAGAAAAGACATTTTAAAGTAGTTTAAAGTACACCTTTAAAGAATACAATAATACGTTAATATCTGCGAAACTTTTATGCAATAGACAAGCAAACTTTTATGCATGACTAAGCAAAGGAATCTTAAATATGCTGTAAAAGTTTTATATCAAAGTTAACATTGTTTTTTTTTTTTAATTATGATGTAACTATTTTCAAAAATCAATAATAAAAAAATACCAAGATTAGATTTTTATTATATTTAACGCTGCTGAATGCTTCACTGATATTGTCTTCAATGTTCACGGAAAATTGTATTTTTTTATATACTTCGAAATTGTTTCCTTAGTCGGAATAGGATTTTAAACAAGGAACGCTTGAATTAATTATAGAAAAAATAGATCTATTGGCTATATGTTTTTTTTTTTTTAAACGTTTTGTTTTCTACCAATTGATGTTACTTTATTTTTTATTGACTAGAAATCATCGTGTTTCGTTTAAAAACTTGTTTGCCTTGTTTGGATAAAAATGATGCCTTGTTTGCTGTAGTCCGAGTATATTTCTATGCATAAAATTTAATGCATTGATTTCTATAATGTTAAGCTTAGTTGTTTACCTTTGTTAAGTGCGCTACTAAGGTTTTATTGTTGTGTAGTTACATAAAAACCGTAATTACTAAAGATGCAGAAAACAATTTTTTTTTCAAATACTTTCAGTAAAAAAAAATTAATTTTCGAAAAAAAAGTAGAAAAAAAAGTTTTCATTCTTCGAAACTTTTTTTTCTTTTTCTTACCCCTACAAACAAATTTACTTCAAAAAACAAAAACAAAAACAAAACAAAACAGAAAAACAAAAAAAAAAAAAGCAAACTAAAAAACAAATAATTTTTATAAAATTTTTACATTTTTTCACCTTAATTGTAGGCATGAACCATTAAACATCCGTTGTCTTGTTAAAAATGTATTTTTTAATATTAATGTATATTTGTTATTTACCTGCCCAGTGAGCATGCGTCGTCCGAAGGATGTCATCCAGACAACGTACGTCTACTAGGTGTGTTTATCTTACTGGTTTCTTTTTTACTTATTTCTTCTTTGGGATCGTCCACAAAGTACGTACGCTTATAGGGAGGAGGTGGGAGGTCTTCAAAAAGCGTACGAAAGCGTATGGGGGTGGGGGTAGGTTCAATTTAAAAGTACATACATCGACTTTCTAATTTATCACAATTAGCCAGGTAATCAATAGAAAAGTTAAAGTTCTGACTTAAGATCCTAGTTCGCCAAGATAAAAAGATGTTTGGTATAGAGAGTAGAGGGCATAGTTTCCTTCAATGCACAAACATGCATGGGGGACCGCAGGATATTTTGATGTTCCAGATAGAATAATTTCACACATTGTGCAAACTCCAAACTTAAGTATGCTTATACGTATGGAAAATGAGGCGGCCTTGCAAAAAATAAAGAAGGCCGAGGTCTGGGAGCAAAATAGCCCTGAAACGCCCCCTCCCCCCCCAAAAAAAAAAAAAAAAAAAAAAAAGAGGAAAGGTCTAAATTTTTTATGGTCATAACTTTTGTAATTTACAATATTTTTCTATCAAACTTAAAATCTGTCGATAAACTTAAATTTAGTTAACTAAATTTAAATTAACTAAACTTAAATTTAGTATTTAACTAAGTTTAAATACTAAACTTTGTCGGTAAACTTAAATTTAGTTAACTAAATTAAAAGTTAAAATTTTTCTACATTAGTGCCTTGTTGGATGGGGGGAGGGGGGGTCAAGCGTTTTGTTTAGAGCTTTTTTGTTCCCAGGCCTCCGTCATCCCACCTTTTTGCAAAGCCTCTTCATTTGGCATAGTTATACTTAAGTTTTAGAGCTTGCATAATGTTTACACCTTTAGCATAGACATACCTATATTTAAAGCTTGTGCAAGCTCCAAACTTAAGCATACCTATGCCAAATGTGTGAAAGTATCGTATCTAGAACATCAAAAAATTCTGCGAGCACCCATACACACATGCCTCCCCTTATATACTGGGTAAGGCGTTTTTCAGGTAATATATTTTTTGAGTCGACAAAAAACAGGTTTTAGCAGTACTGTGGCTAATGGGTTAGAGGCCATCTTATAAAAAGGTGTCATTTGGGTATCAAAATCTCCCAAATTTTACTGCTAGGTTTCGCTAAAATAAAAAGTATCTTAAATTATCAAAAGGAAACAAAATTTTCTGCTCCTTTCCCCTCCCCCTCCATCAAATTAAGGGGTACGGGTAGTCTATCCTTGGCATTGGGTTTTAGGCTTTGTTTTTGATATTACTGATAATCGCGTAGGACTCGTTTTTAATAGATTTATTATTTATTAGATTCGTCATTAAAACAAAGAAAGAAAATACATTCTGACTTGACCAGGAATCGAACGGATCACCGTCTCCCCAGACCGCAACACTAATTGCTCGACCAAGCTAACATATTTAAATCATGTAATTTAACTATAATAAAATTAATGTTTGAATATATTTAAATAGGTTTTTTTAATTCGGATCCTGTACCGCAAACAAAGACCTTTTGGATGGTATAAAGTATCTAAGGTATCATTTTTAACACTTTGGACAATATTGGGTAATTTCTTTGTGAATAATATACTCTATCGTTTAACTTGGCGACGGCCGGTGTCGCGGTAAATTAGGACTCAGGAAATTATGACTTCGAAAGTCTTAATTTCCCGGTAAATTATAACCTTTCGAGTTTAGATTTACCAGGTGGAACGGTAAATTAGGACTCCGACAATCTCTTGAAATTGAAAGATCATTTCGCTTCATGGTGAACTGAAATAACATCGCTCATTGCCTAGAAATTTATGTTGAAAATGCACAGAAAACTGGTTGTAACTTTAACTATGACTCAGTAAATAATAAAATAAATACTTCTAGAATTTCTAAGAGATCTTAAAGAGCGCCAGAGATGGATTAACGTTTTCCCAATAGACAATATACCATATAAACATTACCCTGTAGTTTGCAAAACATTTTCAATCAAACTTCCTAGTTATTAAAATAAAAGGAAAAGAAAATCCTCGAGATCCACTTAGTGTATTTGTGTTAATTTAGAGTTTAGTGCCATCTCTTTCACTAGAAAAAGAACAACAAAAATAGGTAAAGCTCTCTAAAAGAGCTCAGAGAGTCTCTCAGATCAGTAAAAGAAGATGAACTTTCAAAATTCGTAGAGTTTAACAAAGTTGATTCATTTAGAATATTTTGCAGTTATTTATATTAAGGAAGACTTATTGATTCATTAGCTTATCTATTTATTTATTTTTAAATAGATGTTGTTTGCAATCAAAAGAGCATTAAAGCAAAATGGTATTAGTAAATTGTGTCTAATAGTATTTAATAATTTATCATATAAAACCTATCATGCTGGAGTTGTATTCAATATTACTTCATTAGTTAAAAATTGTATTTATAAGTTCAAAAGTTGGTCACATCATTTGGATATTTGATTTCTTTTAAGAAGTCAGAAAAGAAAACAATTTTACGTCAGCAGGTTTAATGCATAAGTTGAACTCAAGTATATTTTTTAGCAAAAATATTCACCTGAAGTTATTGTTTGAGCTTTAGAACATTTTGCACGATCACATAGTGTATATGATCAATTAAGAAATGATTTTTATCTTCCTGACACTTATAACTTCAAAAGTTTCACACTTTTATTTAAAGTGTTTTTATAAAACTCAACAAAATAGTCAAAAAAACTGTATGTTATTACTAGATGAAGTTTATGTTAAACCTATGTTAACTTATCACAGGGAAATTTGTTTGGTAAAGCAAATATTTTAACCAGATCACCTTCTTTTGAAGTTTTTTTGATGTGAACCGTAAAGCAGTAAACAATGAATCAAGTTTTGCAAAAAGTATATTGGCTTTCATGGTTGTATGTTTTTATGAGGGAACAAATTTTATAGTAAGAATGTTACTAGTAAATAATTAGGATTTTGTATACAATCAAATTAATATCCTAATCAACCGAATTAAGAAGACAAATGGAAAAGTTATCGCTTTAATTAATGATTATAATAGAGTAAATCAAGCATTTTTTTAAAACTATTTGATTGCTTATCTCTATGGTTAACAACTGATGGCATTTTTTTACTTTTTGATTTTATACATGTATTAGAGTGAATACAAAACAATTAGATAATTGAAAAGTCTGCTGAAATTTAGTTAGTCAGCTGGTTACAATGTCTAAGCTGACTTATGTTGCTGCTAACCCAAGACTGATTGTTAGACAAAAGGTTGATACATGTTAAAAGTATTTTGTGAAGAGACTATAAATGCATTAAATTATCACCAAGGTATTAAAAATAATGATATAGGTGGAAGTTTTATTTTTTTAGCTAAAGTGGTCAAATAGTCCTCGTAAAAAGTCTATTTGAAGGATAACATTTTTACAGAAGACATCTTACGAGATCTCATATCAGCAGTCAACAATTTACAGTTCAATGGTTTAATTAGTTTTATGAAATAAAAAGTAAACGTAGATTTAATGAAAGAGAATTAAAAGCATAACTATGGACACAAATAAATTATTGATGAAAGTAAAATAATGGTAAATTAAGACTCCAATAATATCTTAATTGATGAAATCAAATTTTTTTTATTGACTTTATTTTTTTATTGATTTTATTTTCAAATGATGATAGAGAAATAACTAAACCTTTGATAATTAGTACAATTATAAAATATTTAGAATATAGAAATTAGTAGAAATGAATAAGTTTAATGGAATGAAGTTTTACATTTTTTTATTCGTTGTTTTTCTTTAAAAAAAGATAAATGAATTGCTCAAGGGGTCAACCATAAAGAACATATTGCAAAAAAGGAGGGAGGGGATTGGGATAAGAAGAATAAAAAGAGACAAATTGGGAGTGAGGGGCTTTACAAGAAAAG